TGTTCAAAGAGAGAAGAAAACAAGTTTAGTGAAAGCATGATGATACTGTCCTTGGCAATCAAATAAAACTATGCAGATCCACTTAACACTGGCAACTTTTAATATCCCCTTAGAGAATATCAAATCACAGGATATGCCAATACACATGCTCTGAGATTGCTCTTAAGAGTCTAGATAAGGGGCTTCTTCCATTTAAGCATAAAAAGGAACAGCTGTGGCAGGGTCAAGAGGGAAGTGGCTATGCTAACTAAAACGACTGTTTCTGCAACCTAGACTGGATTTGGACATAGCACAGCTCCAAAGGAAATTTGTATCAAGCCCTATGAACTGCTCGGTTATGACAGAATCAGGCTGGATAATTAACTTCCAAGGGATTTTACAGCATCCAACTGGTACCATGCAGTAGATGGATCAAAGAAATTATGTATGATCTACTATTCACAGAAAAATTTTCCCTCCAGGTGTTGTTGTAAGCTAACTATTAAAGCTCCTGGCCATAAAGAAAAGAAAAACCTGTCAGTATATTTAACTTCCTCAGATGGAAAAATACATAAAGATGGGATAGGGAATTTACATTTTGAACACCTTCATCTGGATGTATCAAGGTTCACCAGATGTGACCATTATACACTGACAATTTGGTCAGATGCTAGGGAAGGCCAAGGTTAGCTAAGAGAGCCCAACTCTTTATACCACAGAAAAATAGCAGGATTTTTTTCAGCATAAGCACAAAGATGAAAAAGAAAGCAATATTGCCAAGGTTAATGACCCTATTCTTATTTCTGGGAGAGCAGGCAACCTCACCTTTGGAATAAACAATGGCATTTTAAGACAGATGTTTAGAGTTCCACTCAGAACAAAAGCATCTCTAAGTGCACAGAATTAGATGTTCACAATTTGAAGTGAGTGATTAATACAAATGTTGGGCAAAGAAGGCATCCCCTACAGGACCATTAAATTTGGAGTCTAAAATTATGCAATTGCACCAATGAATGCTGATATCAAAGCATAGCTGGACTGTATATGGTTCTATCCAGCCAAACTAGGCTGAAACCTAAAGGAACCATTCTAAAATTCAGAAAATATATTTTGCTTAAGAAGGGCTGTTTTAAACCTGATGCTAGAATGCAATGTGAAAAAAGATGACGTGAGCAGGAGCTAGCATTAGAACTTATGCAACCAACAGAAGAAAAGCTTGACCAACTTTACCCATTACGTATATTGTATTGGGGGTAGGCTACATGGTGTCTGTGGATACTCCTGCAGCCTCTGATACTTCCCTTGGCATCAATCAAGTGTCCATTTGGCAAGAACAATTTCAAGGGGGGGGGGTGTCAAAAAAATCAAGAGATAGGTCTGCATGATCCACTCCCCTCCCACTATTTTTACATGTAAAAGAGAGGAAAAATAGGAAAGCCATTTGCATGCTGGTCCTGACTTACAGAAAAGCATTTTTTGCTCCTAAGGCCTGTATTTTCCGTTAATTCTTTTCAGTCTCTGAGAGATAAAGAGGGCACTGCCATTGAGTTGATTTCACCAAAGTTCACAAGGCAGAAATATTTAGCCTTTTTTCATTTCCTGAGAAATTAGCCTGTAGGTACATACAATATGGGTATTAAGCCTTAGGGTTAGCTTTAAAATATTCAAAAATGAGAAACGATGTGCCACTGGAAATTACTATTTTGCAAATTTTAGTGGCATGATCCTGTGACATAGGAACCAGAAACTACTATTCCTTTCCCAAAAAGCAGTTTATTCATAATTTAATATTCCTCTCTTGCTTAAGAGAAGAAAATCAGATATCCTGGTTCACACATTCCAGTAAAGAAATAATGGGGAATATTTCCAAATTCTTCAGTTGCTCCTACAAGCTGAAGCAGCCAAGTATAAGTAATTAAAAACTTGCATCATCATTGTTAACTAGAATTTAAGATTTATTCACAATATTCAAAATCCTGAGCAAAAAATTATCTTCTTTGCATCTGGAGAAATGTACCTATGTACCTGAATTTGGCGCCCTCCTTTCTTCTCTGGTATATCCTATTGTATAAAATCTGCTCATGTGGGATACTTCCCATTTCCATCAGTCCCATTTCCATCAGCCCTTCTATCACTATCTGAATAGATATTACTGTACACAGTACAGTGAAAGTATAGTGACAGCTTACTGGTACAGTGCAAGTGAAATTCATTTAATAGACTGATCAGACATTATTCACCAGTATCATCCCAAAGTACATCATCAAGACAAGTTATATAATATGTATAATGAAATCATTATGTAAATGATATAAATAAAATTACATATATGATATAAGTCACTGCAGAAATCTCTGTCACATGCAAACAAGGCCTATTAAATCAAGGTTTCACTGTGCTTAAATAAAGAGAACTGCTACCTATAGCTATGAACTGCACAGATTAATAAAAAGTAGTGAGGAAGTAGGTCTTCCAGGGAGTTTTTTTCCCATTATTATTGAATTCCCATTGAGAAATACTTGGTAAAGTGCCTTAGGAATGAGGCAATTTTCAAGCACTTTGAAAATTCCTGATAAAGCTGAAAATCTGACACTACCATGTGACCACAAACAAATGTTAAGTTGCCATAGTAGATGTGCCACAGAATCAAAAGCAAATAGTGCTTAGTTAGATCAGGTTTCTATCAATACTTAGATACCAGCAGTTAGATGTATTACATGATCAGGGAACAAAGAATCCATTAAACCCCTTTAGTGTAAATGTAACCTCTTCCCTCTCCTATATGGGAACATCCTTTTTTACTATCTAGAAAAGGCTGCTTTTTCTGAAAAATGTAAGAAGTAGTACAGGATGAATACTATTCATAACTAATGCAAGAATCCTCATTCTTTTTCAGAATCATTTACTAGCAGAACTTTTACAACTATTCTTCCATTATTTAAATATTTTATTTATACTGTTTTGATATCTTATCATTCAAACTGTTAAAGCTGAAAAAAATCCTCTCCTAGGGCTGACATAAAAAAAAATCTGCCAAAGATCTTGCTTGATTTGTTTAAGCTAAAAACATAATATCCACTCAGTCCCTTTATCTTCTACAAAAAAACTGAGTTAATCTTCTAGATATAACACTAAACCATGGTCTACTCCAAAGTGTGCATCTCCTCTTACCTCATTAATACTTCTGTGCTCTCTATAGTATTATTAGTGTAACTTGCTGACTTTGTTAACAGTTCTCTGTTAAAACTGATTGCCACTGCATTGAATATAATTATTTTTTTTAAAAAATGAAACATTTGTGGGTTCTTTGCTTTTATTTACTGAATACAAAAAGCAAACAGAAATAAAAAGTAAATAGAAGATTGTAAAGTAATAAAACAAAGGAAAAATTAAAAAATAAAACAGGTCATGTGTTCACAGCTACATATATTTAAATTTTGGGGTTCAGTCAGGCATGTTACATCACACTGTCATATTTAAGTTTTTTGAAAAGAAAGCAATGATAAAATATAATAAATAGTAACATAAACATCAGATACTTATTTAAAAATTAATTGCAGCATACAAATTAAAAGTATTAGCATGCTGATATAAAAGAAAGCCTGGGCAAATGAAAAAAATCTTTACATGGAGCTGAAAATACAATAAAGTAGGTATCAGGTATCTGTCATGGGGAGGGCACTCCACAGCTGGGGGCTACCACTGAGAAGACTACTTCCAAGCAATCACTCCCCACACCTCACCTGAACATAGAAAGGCACCCAGAACAAGTCTTTTGTATATGACTTTATACAAATCTGATTTTCAAAGGAAGTACATATATATAGCTTGCAGGTTCAGGTGTAGGTGAACCTGATTCGCCAAAAATCCTAACTTGATTGCAAAGGCTCCTTCCAGGCTCACTCTTATACAGTAGTATGCTAATAGTAAATAAACAAGCTGAGTCTATCTGGATCATACTAGTGTATAGCTATTTTTCCAAATTCTTGTGAAACAAGTATCCTTGCTTTCTTTACTACATTACCATGAATCAGGAATCTTCAATTTTTTTGTGTTCAGACATTTCAACAGCACAAGAAACAGCAGACTATGTCAATCTCATCTTTGAGATACCTTTGATTCCTCAAGGAAAACAAAGAATTCCTCTAAAATCTAGCCAAATATAATAAAAGGTACATAAGGATCATTTATTACATCAGAATTCCATGGAAATGGATATTATGGAAATTACAAAAAACAAAAAACAAACCTTAATCATATTTTTAACAACTGCATAGTATGTAAATCAAAACAACCTTGTATTAAAAGAGGATCAATTGCCTTAACGAAGGTAGCTCCCTTTCAATCATGTGATTATTCTATATTGCCTTCAGCATTAATCCCAATGCTTTATCATCAGAGGAGTCTATCCCTAAAATTTAAACAGTAGTACACTTTTTCATATTAGCATAAATGAGATGGCATATTTTGGTGGCAAAATTAGTTTTGACTGTTTTCTTCTGGTCGCAGAGGTTGTGAAATATTTGATTCTGCCTTTTTGGGTGGGAAGAGGAAGTTTGGAACACAAGACATTAATCTGGGGTTTTGCTGATATGTTATGAGACAGAGAAAATACACCAGGGAAAGAAATAGGAGCCATACAGTCTGACTTCTCAAGTCTGAAAACACTGAACTTATGTTTACAGAATAGTTAAAGACAGGTACTGTTCATATTTGCAAAGCTTTCAGCAAGGAAACATAAAGTAGCCAAACACCTCCAAAAGAGAAATGAGCTAATAGTTACTATATACTTGCATTTGGCCTGGAGGTAGAAGTCACTGGACTTTTGAATCCACTGCCTCTCTCTCCTCTTTTGCATTTTAGTTGAAGATAAAATGTTTCCTGAGGGCATTACATGACAGCATTATCTACAAAGCAAGCATCTGTCAGAAATTTATCACATGCAAGAGGCAATGAAAAAAGGTTCATGAAAAAAAGCTTCATGATGGTAACAACTGATAGTACAGTAGTGAAAACTTAACTGTAATTCTGTCCACTTCGTCCTACTGATTATGTGCAACTTTCATGTCATTTTACCTCAGCAAATCTTGGGGACAGAAAAGTGTATAGTAGCTTCATAGAGCCATCTGTAACCTAATATGCGAATAGAGAAAAGTGTTAATAATAAAACAGCCATATCTACTCAGGAATTAGTGAAAGAAGAACCTAATTATTATGTAAGATTTCACTGCTGCAAAAACTTGTTAAAAGGAATTATATCTAATAATGAAGTTTGGAAGGAAATAATCCTCAATTCCTAAATAAAACTATTTTAGATTTCAAAATTAATCATACATCTGTACTTGGCAAACATTTAATTGATTATACTATTCTATTCTATGAAATAATAATTGATAAATTTATAATTTCCCACTTTTAGACCCTCAAAGTCTATGTTGTCACTAAATACTGGTCGGATTCTAACACATATCAGAAATCCCACCTCTTTATTGGAAGCAGAAAGGAGGGAATCCTGAGAAATGTCTGCTTCTCATCCAGGCATGCAGGATCTTTGCCTCACCAGGCCCACACGTTACCCACGGGATTCCAATGATGCTTCTTCCCAAAATCCCCACCACAGCACAAGTTATTCCACCTGTCATCTCCAGGAACAGATGTAGCACTCCACCCCAGCTGGGATGCCTACAAGCGTGGCTCTGTCTCAGGCCATCCTGCTCCTTCTCCAATCGATCCTAAAAGATTCCAAGAGAAGGTTTTCCTGGAGTATTGAGACTGTGGTTGTGGGTATGTGGACAGATCTCCCTCAGAATCTCCTGCCATGAAATGAAACCCTGATACCATAACATACTAAACTAGTTGGATGACCGTGTGGCTGTGTTGTGTGAACACCAGCAATTAGATTAATTCAGTAAATTATGGATCAGTTAATCATAATTTATTGAATTATATATCAACAGATTATCTGCAAACTCCTCGTATCTCCATTTTAAAACTGTGGAAATAATAACTGAAGACTTAGTGGCTTCAGTATCAAGCCAAGTTATCTTTTTCCTCTCATCTCTCTGTTTTATTTATACATGTGTAACATTGAACCTGATGAAAAGATCTGGGGAACTAACCAAGTTTACGTTTTTTGTAGCATAGCAGACATCATGTTTCTAATAAATAACTGGCTTAAAAGATGGCCGTGGTGTTAAACATAATTGCCTAGGGCAAGCAATAAAATATAACAGGGACTAAAACTGGCATTTAAAGAATTGTTTTTAATTAGAGAAGGCTTTTTCAAATTATAAAAAGGTATGAAATGGAAGGAAATAACACAATTCAAACATAAAGAGAGAATAAAAGAATATGTGTTTTTGCAAAGAAAAAGCTGGTTTATAAGTTCCTCTTCTCTGCTAATAATATATAGGTTAAATATATTTCTAAAACATAAATAACTGCTGCAATTGTGGTCAATGTAGTTATCAGTTATCCACCTTATGTATTTGCTAAGCTTCTCTGAATACACATGGTAATTTTTCATTTACCTCACAACACTTTACTACAAAGAAGTCCTATCTTTAGTACACAGAATGAAACCCAACAGTAGGCTGGACTGGGGTTGGGAGAAGGGGTGGAGAGAGAGAACACATTTTTTCATCTCATCCTGATGGAATGTGATGGTTGATAAAAAATGTTATCAACTTCTAACCTTACAGACTAGCTGCTGTGTGTATGTATTTCAATTATTATTGAATTATACTGATTTCTCAGTGGATGTTTTTATCTATAAAAAATAAAAGACTGTATTTTTCTATTGATCGTGGGTATGCTCAGTACTCCACTTATGATCAGATTATTTTTATGCACTGGTTCAGAAGCAAAACAGCGATTACATCAAGGAAATGTATGCACTTAAACCAAACATTTACAGTTCTGAACTTTAGCTGATAAACTTTAGTTAATAACAGTTTATATAATAGCCGAATGTATTATCTGATATGATTTGGCACACAGCAACAGTCATAGTTACAGTGACTACCAACATATCTGTCAAATTTTCAATATTTACTTTAGACCAGGGTTCTCAAAAGTCATCAATACTGACCCCCCACCAAGGATCAATGGGGCTATCCAAGGAGTCAATGTTGTTGTTATTGTTCATAGTACTATTAGTTAAACTAGTATTTATTAAATTATTTTCATATAATAAATGACTGGGCATCGATGAACAAAATGAAATTTCGTGAAGAAGTCAATGAGCTGGAGTTTGGGGACCCTTGGTTTAAACTGAGTGCAACTTGGCTGAATATTGGAACCACAACCCTGGGACCTTCATATGACCACCCAGAGTGTGGCAGGTGATGAGACAACAGCAAACATTCCCAGCTAGCAGGTGGGTCTACCCAGGTAGGGCAAGGAGCAAAAGAACTAATACTTCCATCACCTACCATTCTCTAATTTTTTTTACTTGTAGGAAATTATCTGAACATGTACGTTCTTATTTTACTATTTTTTTCTTCAAATATATGTTTGTATTTACCCTTTTAATGATTCTTTTCTGCAAAAGTTCTTTACTTGTTCTTCTTGAAGAAAAGAAACGTCCTTCATAATTTTCTTAGCCAATGGGCAAGATGTTCAGGATTAATTCTGAGAAAGATAGTTCATATTTACCCCAAATTAACTGTCACAATTATTGTAGAACCTGCTGTGTGGAGACATCCTCCAGCTAGAGTTGGGGATCAGTTTCAGTTACTGCACTCTGAAGAAGAGGCTAAAACACTTGTGAGGTCTGGCTTGCTCCCTAGATCAGTGCTAACGTACCTGTTAATTTGTAGATAGGCTATCATAACTGGAAACCCACCTACCCCAAAATTCCCACCCATCCCTTCTTACATATAACACACAGGTCTCATCCATTTGCCGTGTATGACAGACAGAACAACAGACTTCAATAACTATAGAAATGCAGAAAAGTATGCTTCTGTTCTGTTTCTTTAAAATTCAGGAATATGCAGATAGTTGATCTATAAGCTTCACTTCTAAAATATTCTTTCCATTATCTGCTGAGATGTAGCTTGGGAAGTCTACAGAGTCACAGCCTCATTGCTCATCCTGCATACCTGAAATGGAACAGATAATAATTCTGCTATAGGAACCTAAGGGGCTTGCTGTCTCAGTCTACTGGACGCTGACTGGAACTGGCTCTCCAGGGTTTTAGGCCGACATTTTTCTAGCTCAACCCAGAGATGCTAGGGATCAATTTGAGATCATCAGTATGCAATGCAATGAAGTACACAATTGTACAGGTACTCAACCAGGCACAGGAAGCAAAAGCTCATGGCATATGGGACAGAAATTAGAAATCTTTAGGCCTGATGATGTTTTCATCAACAGAGGCAAGATGAAGAGGGACCAGGAAAAGGCTATTTTTTCTAGCATCATCCATTCACAGAACTCCTTCCCCAAAGAAGTTGTTTTTTTCTTTTACATGACTTAATTATTTTGTGCCTAATTATTCTGTACCCTTAATTACTGCATAGCCAAGTTTTTATTGTATTCTCCTCTTTGATGTTAAACAATTCTGAGGTTGTTTTTATAAAAAGCAATATATAAATTATGTTAATTAAATTAGAAGAAGGAAGCTATCATACATATTTTCTAATCTACTAAGTAAACTAGTTTATAACAAGAAAATAATATCTAATCTACTTTCAGCTAGTCTCAGAGTTCTGAAGATAATAGAACACTGGGCAAAGGAAGCTTCCAACATACTATTGCAATCAGTTGACTTTGGAAACACTAAAGCTGAAAGCCTTTTTATTATAAATCAAAAGCTGTTAATATTAAAGCTTTTCTTCTGCATCATGGCACAAATGTAGGAAAACAACTGTAAGCATTTCAAAGCCACTCCCTAGTTATGGTCCATCAAGTCACTTCTGACTCCTGGTGAATGCAGGAACAAGTCCATGCAATTTTCTTGGCAAGATTTTCAGAAGTGGTTTGCCATTGCCTTCTTTCTAAGGGTGAGAGAGAGTGACTGGCCCAAAGCCACCCTTTGTGCCTAAGGCAGGACTAGATTAGAACCTCACAGTCCCCCACTTCTAATCCAGTAGCTTTAACCACTACTGTACCCCAAACCGGCTCTCCTAGAAGGAAAGGCAGGACATGTATCTAATAAAATAAGCAAATAAACAAACATACACATTTGCTCATATTTTGGCTTTTCTGTTAAGAAACTCACATACAATACTAATATGTATTATATATGTTGATTTCAGTTCATGTATAGGAAATTACACTTATGTAGTATTTTAGTTTTAACTTATTTAATGAGTTATGTTGTTAATGTATGTTTAATCGATGTTCTCATTCTAGTTAAACATTCTAAAAGCATTCCATACAAAATTAAATTTTAACTTCTCAATACATTCTGCAAGTGGGTTAATATACTTAGAAATGGTTTAGAAAAGATATAACCCACTTATTTTAAATTATAACTCTCATGCCAACATATAATTTAAACACATATTAATAATTATGATTATGCATGTGCACAAATATTAACAGTTAATATTGGAAGGAAATGCTCAGAAGCAAAACATTTCAATCAGACAAACATATTTATAACTTAGGGAAAAAACCATTTTCATTCCATTATAAAGACCATTAAAATGGCAATCAATCAGGCAGCAACATTTTCACTTCCTTGAAATGACAGTATCAATAAACTCTGCATGCAGCATCATACATTGTGTATCCCTCTCCTAAATTCCTGAGCTAGATTGGGGTATTTGGTCTATTATGGAAGAGAGTCATGCTACAACTACCTAAACATGTTATAGATGGATGGATATAGATAGACAAGCTATGGTAGCAGCATTTTCATTACCACTCTCCTCAGCACACACATTTTGATTTTTTCCAGCACAGAAGCACAATGTGCATTTAAGTTTCCTACCTGCATCAATTTATCCTGAAATAAAATGATCTGGCAACTTCATCTTAATCTGCTCCCTCCCTGTTCCAATTCTATTTCTGAAAGTCAAGGATGTTATCACTTGGTGAAACAACACTGAAATTAGGATATATTTAAATATAGGAGCAAATATATATCCTGTGCACATAATGCTACACAACTATTTCAGACCAAGCCAAAGAGGGCCATGCTATTAAGAATTGTTTTATCTTTTAGCTAGTGACATCTTGTTTCTAATAACTTAGAGAATAACAACCTTTATCAGTCTTGTAATGAGATGGTAGACTTTCACTAGAGCAATGAATTAACCAGTTTTTTAGCACCTTTAACTCACTGCCAGTATTTTAAAAAATATGTGGCAGGTAGGCTATACAGTATATTCAATTATTTTCAGAGTCCATTCAAGCAGCACTGTAAATATAATCTTCCAAGGTGGCTCAGGCACCTTATCTTACAGATGACAGATTGCTAAATGAAAGCTACACTGCAGTTTGTTGTACGACCTTGGAAATTTGTTTCACTATGAAAAATACAACAGAGAGATTCTTGTTACGTTTACTGTATTACTATAACCCAGTAGAAATATTAAGAATGTTAAGTGGCAACATGGTAATTTGACAATCATATTAAAATACTAAGTGAAAAAGAAGCATTTAATATTACCATATAGCATATTAGCACTGGTAAAACATTTTTTAAACCATGTGAAATATTAAATGTTTTGCATAACTTTGAGCAAATTAAGTAAAATAAGTTTTCCTCATTAATGAAATCTGAGACACTAAGAAGAAGATACTTTAGCATGTCTACTCTGTTACCAAAACTTGGGGTTCCTCTTCTCCAACATACAGGAAAAATTCACTGGCCACGTATTTCAAAAACAGTACTGTAGGTAAAGGGAAAACCTTCTGATTTTTTTTTTTCTGATAACCAAAAAGATCTTTCCAAGCACTTTCATTCCATTTCATTTCAGCACCACTGAGTTATGTAACATCATGCCCTGATGTCAGTTCCAAGTTTTTAAGCTTCATTTATAGGTTTATCACAGCACAGCTCAGTTCCCTTGAAGCATGCAGCTTTTTTTTTTCTCATTATGCAAGGAAAGTACCCTTCCCAGGCCCAGCTTTTCTGATGACATAGTTAATGCAGAGAAGTGGCTTGTGCTATGCAGGGTACATAGCACTGACTGCAAAAACAGGGGAGAACAACTCTTTACCTTCATACTACTACCCATTTATGAGAGAATTAAGGACACATATCAATTGGTCATTTTAAAAAGTAGGGTATGTTTTAAAATGCAGCGTTATTTCTATTGGCACCCATGAGCATGCAGTATGAGAAGGGAACTACAAACCCGCACTTTCCTCTGGGCTCCCTGACCCGCGTGCCCGCACAAACACCCCTCCCCCACAGTCAACAGCGCGCGCCCAAGAAGGCAGACCTACTTCTCTTCCTAGGTCGGGCTGGTGGGTGTGGACAGGGGCATGAGCTAACCCAACAGCTGCTACTCTGCCTACCCCAGCAGGAGCTGGACCGCCGCAGTTGTCGAGCTCGCCGGCCTGTGCGCAGTTCCATCCCCGTCCGCACACAGCCATTGTCAAGTCTGCAAACGTATGCCTCGGCAGCGCCTCGCCGGCCTCTGGACCGGGCTCGGTGCTGCTCTGCGGCGATGCGACGCTCCTGTTATCTGCATCAGTTCTCCTCCCTCCAGCTGCAGCCGGCAGCCGCTCTGACAGAGGCTGCATGGGGAGCGGAGAGCTGCCGCGGCATTCCCCTTGTCGCTTCAATTCCACCCCCCACCCGGGGCCGTGGAA